ATGGGTTCCTAATGTATGGTGTTTATGATGCCAGTTGAAGATTTATTTGTTTCCTGATCATCAGCCTAGACAATTACCCCTAGTGACTGGAATAGTTTTAATAAAATGATTTATCGTTTCACTGCTATTTTACTATTGCATTTCTTGGTTTTATTGAACGTTGTGGATTTTATTTTTGCAGTACTGTAAACTACTTTGTGGTTTTTGGAACAAAAAATGTATTGGAATGCCTTAGGAAATAAAATGATAAAAGCTGCAGCTGAAAAAAAAATAGCATTTTGCTTAAAGCCAACTGGTGTGTTTGGGTTGCCATGATATTTGAAGTGGCAACATCCTGGACTCCAGCAAAGTCTTTGCCACTGTGCTATATGATCTCTCTTAGTAGCAGAGCTGCTTTATACTTAGAGGAAAGAAAAACAGAGCCAACTTTTAAACACAAGAGCCACGGTAGGTAGAAAAACATAAGAAATCAGAACAATGGCATAGGGATGGGCATGCATTGGGCAGAAGAGAATTAGTGTGAATTTAAGAGGAGGGGAGAGAACTCAGACTGATTAGTGGGACATAAATTGAAATAACTGGCCAAATCTTTGGCTGAGGCTTCTCATGACTATAGAACAGGCAGCCTTTAATGCAATGGTGGACAAGCCTTGTCCTTTCCCACCAGAACTGTTGGGCTGGAACTCCTAGCCAGGACAGCTGAAGGTGGGGGATGATGAAAATTCTAGGTTAACAATGTCCCACCTTCTCTGCCTTTGTTCAACCAGAAAAACACTTAGATTCGCACTCAATAGGGATTTGGATAGTTCTCTAGAGGAAACTAAGTATTTGGTGGAGACGTGTTGTGCCAAAATTCAGACGGTGCGGCCAATTAGAATAAGGGAGATGATTAAATATTTTAAGAGTTCCTGTAAATTTTGCCAGTCATGCACCAGCTAAAGGCAAGGAGCTGTGGTCTGGGTGGAAACGGAAAGGGCTCGGATTAGTTAGGGAAACAGCCTAATTTTAGTGCATTCCAGTTCTTCAACCTCATCTGTTTACAGATCCAGCGGAAGAGTGATGCACAGTAAAAGAAGTAAAAATACTATATATACATTCAACATTATCATTTAAGCATGGGAAAAGAGTATTTTCCAAAGTTGGTATATGGAGCCATGTGTAAATCACACTGTGCAAAAGAGAGACTGAGAGATAGCATAAGAGGGATGCGAACAATGTCACAGTTTGTATTAGACCACCGCCTCACCTCTGGTCAGGCAGACTGTCTGGGTTGATACAGCCTAATTTGAATGTCTGCAGAGCTTTCCTCTTCTAATCCATCTCCTAGGGCACTCTACACAGAACATGACACTAGCAGTTGATATTGTTCTAGGAGATCTGGAGGTTTCAAAGGTTTGCATACATTTCCAACACTTTTTGTTGACCTAACAGATCCTGCTTTATCTAATATGGAATTCATGTGTTTCTTTTCTTATGGCCAACATGGCTACCTCAGTGCTTTATATTTATTGTTTCTGCCTTTTTAGAAATGTTTAAGCAATATAGCGCCAAAGCTCCTGATAGTAAAAATACATGAAAAATATACTTTTCCTCTCCCCTCCCCCTTTCTGTTTTACAACAGTATTTTATTGCTGTGAAGGGATTGTTAAATCCTTGAATTGTATTACAATATTTACCACTGGGCATCGCATCACAAGTCATATTGTTGTCGTACTGCCTCAGGCATGAATTTCAAAACAGAGTATGTTTTTCTTATTTAGCTATAGCAAGTTTTTCAGGTAAATAACAAAAGTGAACCAAGAAAACAAACTTATTCTCTTTTAAAAATATATATAATCCAAAGCACCTGAGCTCTACATGAATTAGATAATAGTCAGTAACAACAATCTTTCATGCATTTAATGTTAGCTTCCTTGCACAATGTGTTTTTAAAGAGTTTGCCTTGTTGGCTGCTGTCAGACTTTTTTTTTTTCAAGGAACAAAAACTGAGGTTTGATGCTTATCTTATACCTAAAAATAAAATCATATCCTCACCAGAAATCTTCAACCTCCCCCATGAGATGACAGCAGGGCTGCAACCAAGTCATGCTTATTCAAGAATAAGCCCTTTAAAACACCACTGTACTTGCTTCCAAGAAGATATGCATATAGTTAAGCTGAGTACATGTACAAGTCAACAACCACCCTGTTGAAAGCAGTAAACTGTTTATTTACTCTTGAGTCCCAATGAATTTCTATTTCAAAGTGCTTGCAGTAGATGGCAGGTACTGTGTCTACTATCTTCACTGCAACATCAGGTTAAAGCAAATTGTCAACCCTGACTAGAACAGACTCATTGAAGGAATGGTGAATGGTACTTGTTAATTCAAAGCTCCCATCCTATGGATTGAACAATGGGGGGGGGGTATTGTATTTAGCCCCTGGCTTTGATTTTCTCTCTTGTAGTGAGCGCACTCATCTTCACACACACCCAAAATGCAACATGAACTCTCTTGGCTGGTTCTCTTTTCAGTGGAATGTATGGAAATACCAGAAGTCTTTTTTTAAAAAATGACATAAAATGAGTAGGTTCAGAATCTGTCTTCCTATAAAATATCACACTGATGGGCTTTCATTTTTTTTTTTTAAAGAATGCAGGCCTGACATTTGGGGTTGGATGTGGAAACTAATATTTGTAGCATCCAATTTTCTGCACATTTTCTTATTTGGCTATGAATATTGTATATAAATGAGGGTATATACAGATTACCTTACCTTGTCTGGTACATTACTCGTATACGTTTCACACTGTGTTATCAATGCATCTTGAAAATACTCCTAGAATGGCACTCACAATTTATTTACAATAGCAGGTGAATTGATTTACTATAGCAATACGGGTAAGTATCAACTCTGAGGCACGACGATAGCAGTAACAAGAAGCTTGTTGAAAACAAACCATTCTCTCTGTTTCTGCACCTATTTATTTCCCCTATGTCACTTGATTTCTATCATTTCATCTGCATAGTTTCAAAGACAGGCTGGAAAAAAAGTCAATAGAAAAATGGTGGCTCAAACCAGCATTAGAGCTGGGCTCATAGGCCCCCTAATTTACCTCCGGTGCCTTGTCTTCCACACCTGCAACATGTGGTTCAAATTTGTTTACTGCTTTCCTGAAGAGAATTCCTCCAAAAGAATTCTATAAATCTCCACCACTGCTACATTTGCAAACATTCTTAGAGGGGTATAGCTATGCCTTGGGTGTTGTTTGAAAACACCCTACTGAATGGATCTACCTGCACCCTACCTGCAGGATCTATTCTAAACAGAAACCAGAATGAAGTAAATATTCTAAGAATTCCTCTGTCAAATCTATAATTGTTTTGAATACAAGCAACTGGCAGAAAACCACTGACACTTTTCTTTGTTACATTTGAATCAGTAAGGTTTAAAATGGAAGGGAGAATAAATTCTTTATTTGACTGAAAATCATCTCTAGGAAAGAGGATACTTATTTATGTGACATTAATTTAAATGGCAGGGAGTGACAGCTGTGCTTAAGCTATGGCCACATAGTAAAGAAACAATTCACACATCCAACTGTCACTGTTTCTAGATGTCTAATCCAATCTTGAAAGATGCCCAGCCTCTGATGAGATCTCTCCTGTTCTTGAATTAAACAGCATGTTTAAACACGCAGCTATTTTGCAATAATTCCATCTGTTATCTATGGTAGTATCAAGCAGCAACTGGCTAACTCCTGCCTTCCTGCCATATAAACTGGAGCATATTACATGTTCCTTGATATCAACTGCATCGTCTCATGTGACTGCTAACATTTCTTGCACAGGCATAAGGAGGGTGAAGAATTATCTGCATAATGTAATCTCAAGCATAGACAAAGAGGTGAGTCTAAAACCCGGGGCACATTACTATGTGTACGTAATATAAGCAGCAATCTTGTTTTTACCTATCTGGAAGCAAGCCCTACTAAAATGAACAAGACTTGTTTCTGAGTAGACATTCAGGATCCTATTGCAAAATAGTTGCTCAAATGAATGTTTGACTATAACATTTTTGTGTTATAATACATACCTATCCAGTGTAGCAATTTTGTACACTTGAATATTTTGCTCTGTGGCATTGCATCTATAACAAGTAATTCAGTGGGCTGAGGCCAGGTGATGTGTTTAAGTCTGGACATACCAGTGGAAGTCATTCTGTGGAAATTTAAGAAATAACCAAATAATCTACATACATATGTCTCAGTTACAGAGGAAGTTCAGCTACAAAGATAGGAGAAAAAGCACCATGTTCATTTCTGTTAAGAGCAACATACTATTGCTCTTAACAATAGTTAAAGAGCAATACCCACCCTGTGATTTTGGATTGGCATCTACATGACAGCAGGTCTAGCACATGATCAGATCCCAGGCATCTACCTACTATATATTCCTTAGGATGGAGCCATAGAATTAACTGCTTTAACAATGTAGTGTAGACACTGTGCTTCTCTCCATGGAAACTGCCCTTGCAGGGTTATTGTGAAGTGGATTGTTTGGAGGGTTGAAGGAAAGGCAAGATGTAAATATAGCATATATACACCCTACCCCCACAGAACAGTAATCAAACTACATATGCCTAGTCAAAGGTAAAAGGATGGCCCCTTCCTTTAGTGGGGCCCAACTAAACCAAAGACAGAAATTTGTGAACCTCCAGGTGTTGGTGAGCTCTTATGGAGACTGATTTTGAGCTGGCAGAGAGGTAAGAAAATTGCTAATCTTTTTTTCTACTAATATTTCAGCCCAAAAATAGGCGAGCTGCGGTGGGGACTGGAACTCTCTCCTGGGGTTTTGAAGAGGAGCAGAACATGTGGGTGTAGTTATAGCTATTACACAACAGTTCACACGCCCTGCAAAACATAGTTTCTGAGGCGTGGCTGCGATCCCTCCTTTTAGCCAACAGCCTTTTGTTAGCTGGGAAGTCTATCATCCCTCCGAATCATGTCCCGGACTGTGAAACAACCTTCCAACACAACCCCTCACTACTCCCCTCACCCCCGCCGTGAGAGTCCAACTCTATGGGATTGCGGTAGTCTGAGTTTTGGGGTGCGCGGGAGGCTGAACCAGAGGCGCGCTTTCGTCCCTCTTCAGGGAGAGCGGGCGCCGGCGGCGCGCACTCCCGCTGCACCCGCGCTCCGGAAAGGGGCTTGACGCGCGTCAAGGCTTGCCCACGAAGCGGCCGAGAAGTTTTGGAGGGAAGCGGCGCCAACCCCTCCAGAGCCCACGGGAGCGCAGGAACGTGCGCCTCGACGGATTAGGCCCTGTTGCTCTCCGCCCCGGCAAAGCCTCCGCGCCTGAGAGTGGCCGCTCCAGGGGATTTAGCGCCGCCGCCGCCGCCACATGATCCCACAACCACCCCGTGACTCTCATCCCTGGGAGCCCGTGGGGGAAATATGAAGCAGAGCTCCTTCTCTGGGTCTCGGCCTCTTTCCGCTCCTTCGCCTCTGCTGCTGCTGCTGCTGCTGCTGCTCTGCTCCCCGCGCCGAGCCCCCCGATGGCCTCTCCCCGCCTGGAGACCTTCTGCTGCCCCAACCGGGACGCAGCCACGCAGCTGGTGGTGACCTTCCAGCCGAGCGTCTTCTGCGGGGTCTGCGTGGGCAGCGCCTCCGCCGGCCTCCTCCTCAGCCTCCTGCAGCTCCTCCCCAAGAAGGGACAAGGCCCTCGCAAGATGCCCAAGCCTTCCTCCTCCACCACCATCCTCCTCCTCGTCTCCGCCTGTGACATGCTGGGCTCTCTGGGTAAGTGAGGGGGAACCTGGCGAGGCAAGCAGGAGCCTCGCCCCCCCCCCCCCCCTCGCCTTCCAAAGCCTGTTGCCCTCAGCGGCTTGATCGAGAGCAGTTGGCACGAAACAGGTGGCCCTCCAGTGCGCTGGAGTCGCTGCGGTTTTCTCCCTGGTTGTCAGTTGACTTACTTCTGCTCAAATGTAAGGCCACTCCGTTCAGTGGAGCTCCCTGTCCCCCAGGTGAGTGAGTAGGTTGACCACCTTCTCATTCCTAAAATAGTAGCTCATGATGGCTTTGCCTGGATGTCTCTACCTGACTGTCAACAATTCCTCTGTTTTGGTTAAAAAAAAAAAATCACATTCAAAGATACAGCTGTTGCTGCAAGGGTGGGCTTTTCCAATATGCCTCCCCTGTTCCGTTTATCTGCCCTTTGTTGTCTCCGAGGGGTATTATTAATCCAAGCCGCTTGGCATGACTGGAATTCCTAAGCCGTTCGGAAGGTCCTTCTGGTGAAAGGGCAGCGACGACGTGGATATTATACAATTGTATAGAAAATGTGCACCAGAGAAAGTTGTGTCCATTCTAACATTAACTGTTAGTCATTTGTTCAATGTAAAGCAAGAAGTCTTGTTGGAGGAAAGGCTTCAGATTGAAAAGAAAAAAAGAAGAATGATAGCCACATGATCCATTTTAGATGAACTGTAGAATGATTTAAAGATCTTTTTAAAATGAAGTGCAGATGTGGGAAACATGATTTGCAAATCCACATGTATTGTTTTCCCCCCCCTCTTTTTTTGAAGCTTCTTTGCAAATTGGATTGCAAAGAAGCTAAATATGAATAGAGGAATGGGAAATGTGTGGCCCTCCAGTTGTGGAGCTAAAACTCAGCCCAAGTCATCACAGCTAACTATGAGATAGCATGGACCTTCAGTCGAGCAATTAAATGCATTAAAGAAAAGCAGTTACATTATACAATGGAGGTGCATTCTGAATGGGTTCTGGTTTGGGGTATAGCTTCCTATTAGGTGTGCATTCAATGAGAGACAATATTCAGGTATTACAAAAGCAGTGTTGTTAACATGCTTAGGAGAACATCTAGCCTTGTCTCCATTGTTTTCCTCATGTCTGCAACAGTGGAGCTAAAAAGGAAAGGTTCCTGCTTGTGTGGAGGTAGAATAAGCAAGCAAGAATCCTGAAAAAAGTTGGATTCTTGCTTGCATGGAGAACCAGCATGTGAGCAGAAAGCTCTCCTTTTCAGACAACCGAGACACTCAAAGCAAGAGTGTGGGGTGGTGAGGCTAGTGCTGCCCTGCAAGCATACTGACTGTGTTGGGTTTTGCCTCTGCCAAATATATTAGGCCATCCATCACACATTAGTGTTGATGTTCTGATGGTGGATGGAACTGTTCATAGGTATGCAAGATTCTACTGTATATCAGGCAAAAACAAAAGAAAAATTGAAAATAAAGGAGGCAGAAACGTTGTGGCACCTTAAAGACAAACTTCTATATTTTAATGTGAGCTTTTCTGTGCAGCTCACATTAAGGAAATAGATTTGTCCATGAAAGCTCACATTAAAATATAGCAGGTAGTCTTTAAGGTGCCGCAGTCATTTGGTCTTCTTTCCTTTATTTATCTTTTGTTTTTACTTGACATGCCAGCACAGACTAACACGGCTACCTCTTCTCAAAGATTCTGCATGGCATTCTTATTATTACTGAGCAAGCTGAGACTGGAAAGAAGGCAATGGTTCAGCTGTCATATGATGTCCACAATTAGTAATAAACTATGTCAAAGTGTAGTCTTCAAGATGGTATTCGACTGCAGCTCCCTGCATTCTGTATCCTTTGGTATCTTGATTAGGGCTGTTGGGAGTTGTAGTCCAACACTTTGCCCACTCTGTCTTAGAGGAACAGCGCTGGACCTGTGCCATCTGTCCCTCCTATGTTTAGACTTTGCCCCAAAGCTTGCACTAAACTATTTCACATGGGATTTACTGATTTCTTGCACTGCAGTGCCTGGAATTCACCAGGAACACCTCCAGCCAGAATTCTGGCAGTGGCAAACAAAAATCCTAAATTCACAGAGGAGTTTTTCCGTCTCTCACACGTGGGCCTCCATAAGCTGTAGGAGATATTATTTGCCACTGCAGAAGAAGGAAATGGATGAGAATGGCTGAGCTCCAGGGGAGCTGCAAGGGATTATGGTACTGGTAGTTTCTTTGGCCATTAGGCTCTGTAAGGTACCTCTAAAAATGTTAGTGGAAGTGAGTAAAGAAGCTTGGTAACATACTGTAAATATATCAGCAAAAATGGAGATAAAGAGATGATTCTGTACTTAAATAGACAGTATTAATTTTTTTACCATGACTTCCATCAGAGTTTTGCTTGTCATGTAAATGTGAAGTAATAACAACTATGTTAACCCAGTCTTTGGCAGAAATGAAAGAACAGGCTTCATGTACATAGCTTGCAAAGGTGCTTTTAGACACAGCACTTAGATCTGCTATCCAAAATCTAATTACTACTAAAGTAGGCCTGTTGAATCAGTGGGGTTTTGGGGAGTCAGCTCCTCTGTACATTCTTTTGCCTTCAGGAGCCTTGTTCTAGTTGTGATTTCACTTTTATCCTTCCTCTATTTGTAATACAAATGCAATATGCCGCCTAGAACAGACACATCTGACTAGAAAACTGCTTTTGATGACTTTCTTCTACATGTATATCAGGAGAATGGTTCAAAGGCAGGGCAGAGAGCAGAACATGTGAAGCCCCCGCAGCTTTCGTTTTCAGTGTTTCATGCATGGAGTGTGAGAGCTGGGTGAAACTGCTTTTAATCATTGAACTGTTTCAGTTCATGAATGAAATCCACAGTTTTCTCTCCAGTCATTCACATGACTGTGACGGTAGCTTAAAAACTGAGCCTGAAGGCAAGCATATGATTCATCAAGTTTGGAAATCTCCTGCCCTACCTTTGATGTTTTTCTGAGGTTGCAATAGACGTCTGTCTCTCTCTGTCATCACACAAAACTACAGGACATCTTTGTCTTCCCGTATGAGTGGAGGCTGGTGCCTGTTATGGTTGGTGGGGCAGAAAGTCAATCAGCCAATGGAACTGGAGCAACAGGCAGAGGCAGGGGCAACGGGCTCCTTTCTCCTCCCTCCCTCCCTTTTTCCGCACACAGAGGCGGTAGGGCAGGTTTTTCACTTTACCGTTGCCAGCTGAGAACACAGTTCCATAACTTTTCAGGTTTAGGCAAATTTCACATTTGGTTTGTTATGTCTTACTGTATATTCCTGTCTTTTGGATTATGATTTTAGCAATGTTCTTATGCTGGATTGTGTTTTTAAGTCAATTGTTAGTCTCCCTGGGCTCTTTGTATTCGAAGGTGGGATACAAATCAAACAAAACTGTGTGGAAATAAAACCAGCAGCATCCTAGCTTGTTCACGCTCATGTCTTCCTTCCCACACACTGCAGGTATAATCTTCAGATCAACAGTCTGGTTAGGGTTCCCGAGCTTTATAGCAAACATATCTGTGGTGAATGGGACAGATGTCTGGCCTGCTGCCTTCTGCGTGGGAAGTGCGGTAGGTATAACATGTAGCTATGATGCCAATCAGAGACAGGGAACCTTTGATGTTAAGGACTAAAATTCCCAGCATCCTTCACCATTGGCTGTGCTGCCTAGAGCTCCTGGAAGTAAAACAGATTTTTCTTGAAGTAAAACGGATTTTCAGAGTGAGAGGTTCTCCATTGTGAACGAGCGGCTACTCCATGGCACTAGCTTGTTGGCCCTGTTTCATTCAAGGAGGAAAGAAGTGTACATGAGCTTATCTTTTTAGGCAACTATCATGTAAAGTGAGTTCAGTTTGGAAAAGTTACCATTTGGATTACATCTCCCAGAGTCCCCTGTAGTGGCCATGCTCTTGGAGGACTCTGGGACTTGTAATTCCCGAAGTGTAGTTTCCAAGCTCTGGTGTGAATCAATTTGAAGCTGAATGACCGACTTCAGATTAGCCAGCGAGCTTTATGGTTTGTTGGAAGCTTAGCTATTTTTGGGTCTCATGCACAAGACTGAATTGATCTGAGCCATAATTCCATCCCTACAAAAATGTTGTTCTGTCCATTTGGGGCTGGGAATGTAGGCTAGGAAGAGCATCTATAAAAGAGCTTTTTAGATCCGGCCTTTTAGATTTGATCAGCTTAATAAACAGGTAATTTTGAACTGCCTTCATATGAAACACTCAAAACGACTGCAAAAACTTTGGTGAAATATTCACTGCCCCCCCTGTAGCTGCCAATTACAGTATGTAATTTCACATTGAAAATGCTTAACAAAATTTGAAAAAAATACACACAAAATGATGCTTCTCTTCCTAATTAAAATGGGAAAGAAAATGGCATAAAACTTGAAAAACTTGTGTCAAAACGCATCTAAAGTGTTTTAAAATACCCTTTAGAAGTGACCTTTGAAAGTTACATTACACTCAAAAAGTTACTTGTATTTCTTTTGAAACCTGACTTAGTTGCAGCTTGTCTGCAAAGTAACTAACTACGCATAACAACATTAGCTGTGGCCACTTACTTCTAAGCTTAGATCAGGAAGTACAGCCCTACACATTTGTTCAGCTGAAGCATTGTGAATTCAACAATAACAATGGCAAAAAAAAAATCACTGTGACTATGCTGTATACAGGTGGCTTAATGGAAATGTACTTGTGGCCTGAAGTCTCAGAAGGAAGCAGCTTCTGGCGAAATGGAGAAGCCACACTGGGGGAAGGGGAGGCAGCAGTTGTTGCGGAACAGAGGGCAGAAACCCCTTGCAGAACAGAGGAGAGAAATTCGGTTCCTTGGCAAAACTGGGCCAGGGCTCCCTCTCTCAACTATGCATGGACACCAAAGAAATTGGAAGTAGGAGGAACTTTGTAGCACAGTGGTTAAACTGCTGTACTGGAATCAAAACTGTGCTCATGACCTGGGGTTCAATCCCAGGTAGCCGGCTCAAGGTTGACTCAGCCTTCTATCCTTCCAAGGTCATTAAAATGTGTAGCCTGCATAATTAACTTGTAAACTGTCCAGAGAGTGCTTGAAGCGCTATGGGTGGTATATAAGCAGCAGGCTTTGCATTTGCTTTTAAGTGCTTCACTTATCCACTATTTCAGGCATCCGAGGGGATGCTTGAAACTGATCCCCCCCATACCACAGCCCTACTGTCATTTTTTTTAAAGGCAACTAAAACAAGGGAAGATACCAAGCACTGCAGGAGCTTAAGAGAAACCTGGAATTCTGGTTTCAGGCCAGTTTAATAAAGAAATTAATGTAGGAAAAATCCAGTTTCTTTGGGGAAGAAAGTTAAAACTTGTAAACACAGACATAAAAGATTGGTCATTTAAGGTTTAGTGGGACGGGGTCAGAAAATGTGACTTATCCAGAGAAAAATATGGTCAAATTTAGCTTAATTGAAGCCTGCGCATCCCTTGCTCCCACCACCTGTTTCATGAGGTGTTTGCATAGCTAAAGATGGAAAGTTGTTTCTCCGTGTCATTTCGTTTTGCATCAGAAAGTAGCCATTTCAAAATTTGTGTAAAAAGAAAACGGAACAATATACAAATCTCCCTGATCTGTCTGCTAGCTGTGTGATTCTGGGAGCTCTAGTTCAGTGCATCTGGAGGGCACCTGGTAGGAGGAGACTGATGTACATGATGATGAGCCAGGGGTTTGAGGATCAGGTGTGGAGTCCTCTCTACACAGAAATATAATCTTCTTTCCAACTGCAGCCTATTTACACCTACCTTGTTCACGTTTCTTAGTGTAAAAAGCTGCAAGGGCTGGTTCATCCCATCAGACTGCCTTCATTGGGCACAGCCCTTCAGCGGCAACTAAAGAAAGTATTCCTGAAATTAAGTCTAGATCTCCCCTCTCACTCCCATACAACCATTGCATGTGTGTCTTCATTTAAATTCTGTTTTTGCTGTTCCATTGTTGCTTGCAAGCAGTCTAAAAATGGTAATGTTGAAATCCCTTCCTTCACCTGAACGGTATGGTTGGCAGGCCCGATGCCCTGGAGGAATTGTGGCTACTCCTGTGAGAAGCAGCCTTTAATGTGTTTTCCTTAATTGTGGTACTTCACGAGCTTTTCATGCTTCATGCATTTTTATATGTCCCTGGTATGCGAAGAGGTTGCAGTCAGCTTATAATGTTTATAGGTGTGCAAGACTAATCAAATCCGAATTATGGGAACTGACCCCATGGATAATATGTAACACATTTTGAGCACTAAGGGCTTTGATCTACAGCTTCATCTCCTTTATTAACTTGATCTAGATGAAATATTTCAAGCTTAAAAGTAACACTGTTTTGAGGATCCTGTACCTCTGAGCAGCTCTGACATGCAGGAACTTTCTTTCCTTTTACAGATGTGGATCCAGCTTTTGTACAGCGCTAGCTTTTGGTGGCTGTTTTGTTACGCTGTAGATTCGTACTTGGTGGTTCGAAGATCAGCGGGTTTAAGGTATCAAAACTAAATGAAGTTGTTTTTAAAGACAGGATTATATCTTCAAGATAAGGCAGGCACACTCCCCCCCCCTTTTGTTACTTTTTTCTTCTGTGCTTCCAAATCTGACCCACCTTTTTGAACAATAGGTTGCATAGATGAGTTTTGGTCTGTCCCATTTGTTTTGTTTAGTATTCAGGTTGGCTTTTGCTCTGCTCTGTTTTAAGTGCAAAATGTTTGTTTTTTCATTGAAATTTCCAAGAGGAGAATGGCAGGTTTAAAAGTGAACTCTTTGCAATCAGGTGCAGTTTTGTTTCTAAGTTCAGTGGCCTGATGGTTAAATGAGAGGATGAGACATTTTGCCTAATGTAGAAGTAATTTGCAATGTTCACAGGGCAATCTTGTTTTCTTTTTGGGTTTCCAGTACAATTGTATTGTACCACATGATGACATGGGGTTTGGCTATCTTGCTGTGTGTGGAAGGAATTGCCATGCTCTACTATCCTTCGGTTTCAAAGTAAGTACTGTAAATATATATGCCTAGCTTTTAACTTTTGTGATCAGCCTCACATGTATGTTCATACACTGCAGATTTACTTCCTTCCTTCCAGAACATTTATCCCCAGCCAAGCCTTTGGAAATTAAGTACCTTTTTAAAAGTAAACTATTGTTAATATTTTTAATCAAATATCTTACAGCATTTTAATTTTAATATCATTAATATTTATAAAGAAGTTAATCATATATTAATGTTTGTCATGCTGTTGTGTTTTAATTTTGTATCATTTTTAACAGTATTGTAAGCTACCTTGGGTTCGAATTCTGGAGAAAGGTGGTATATAAATGCAGCAAATAAATAGATATTCCACAATTTATTGTACTGTATTAGATTACTGTTTTCAGTCACATATCTGTAATGCTCGTTAGCTCTCCCAGACAGAAGTTGGGAAGACAGTTTCTTCGTTTCCTAACAAAGTATGATAAAGGCAGTGGCTGAACTCCTGTTGCCGTTTTATGCCTGTAGAGGGTGAACAGGGTAATATTCACTTGCTTGTAGCTGGTAGTTACTGAGGTGCCCCTGCAAATTGGGAGTGATGCCCCCATTGGGCACATGCTCAAAAATCCTAGGGGGGATACAGGTTAACTGCTGTCTGGATGGGAGTGAATGTTACCCTAATTGCCTTCCATGTGCATAAAAAAGCAACAGGATTTCAGCCGTTAATTTTTCAAGTAGTTCATTTTTATCTTTATTAGATTATTGTTTAGTTTTGTATACAGTAGGACCCCCATATCTGCAGAAGATTGGTTTCAAGCCCCCCTTGCAGATACTGAAAAGTGTGGATAATAGCAAACCCTATAATCTGTTGGACCCAGGGCTCTCCCTATATCTGTAAGGACAATAATCAAGGGTGGCTAGCAACTTCAAGGCTCAGAAGGAATCGCCTCAAGCTGGCGAGAGACATGGCAGAATGGCAGCCAATTACAGTGGTGCCCCGCATAGCGACGATAATCCGTGCAGCAAAAATCGTCGCTATATGAATTCGTCGCTATGTGGGGGAAAAGCACATAGGAATGCATTAAAACCCATTTAATGCGTTCCTATGGGCAAAAAACTCACCTTAATGCGAAAATCCTCCATATGGCCGCCATTTTTGCTGCCCGGTAAGCGAGGAATCCGGGCAAAAATACAGCAGGCGGCCATTTTGGAACCGCTGATCAGCTGTTCTAAAAACATCGCTATACGAAAATCGGTAAGTGAAACAGTTTACCGATCACCGCAAAGCGATATTTTACCATTTAAAACATCGCAATGCAATCGCAAAAACAATCGCAAAAAATCATTGCTATGCAGATTCGTTGTTAACCGAAGCGCTCGTTAAGCGAGGCACCACTGTACCTATAAAGCATAGTGTCTGGTTCTCTCTAGTGTCTAGGTCTTTTAATTACATTGTGTGAACAGGTATTTCTGGGTTTTAAACTTTAAATATTTTTTAAATGATCAGACTGCAGAAAAGTGATACTACTGTTGCTGATCTGGTGTTCCTACAGCTAGATAGCTTAAGAGTTTAGGCATCTGGCTGTGGAGCCAGAGATTGAGAGTTCAGTTCCCAAATGTGCTTCCTTGACAGGGGTTAGACTGAATGATCAGTAGGGTCCTTTCCAGCTCGGCAGTTCTCAGATTAATAGACAACTGTTGGAAAATGTATTTCTGCTTCTTTACTCACACTCTAGTTTAACATGGTTTAATGTGATACTCCAGAGAGCCATGTCTTACAGGGTTGCTACCACATGGTTGCTCTAACAGCACATATAATTGAAATTGAAACCACCCATTTAGAAATTAATGTAATGAAGGTGTGTGTGTGTGCTCCTAGACCAGTGTTCTTGGCCTTCAACTCCCAGAAATCCTGGCCAGCAGAGGTGGTGGTGAAGGCTTCTGGGAGTTGAAGTCCAAGAACATCTGGAGGGCCACAGTTCGACACCACTGTCCTAGACAGTTATGCTGGATGTTGCCAGAATAAGTGAGGACTGTTTCATGTATGAACAGCACTCTAAAGAGTGTTAAACAACATTCTTTGTTACCCTTTTCTTATTTTAGCTGTGAAAATGGTTTGGAGCATGCAGTTCCTCATTATGTCACTACGTACGCCCCACTAGCGCTTGTTTTGATCGCCAACCCAATCCTTTTCGGCAGGACAGTTACTGCTGGTAAGATTCCAAGATGTTGGCTAAATGTTGTCCATATTAGAAAAAAAATCATAGCAACAGAGCATTCCTAACTTATTGGCAAATAGGAAAGGAGAGATCTGAATCAAAACATCTGCCCGATCAAAGCATCTGCTGGCTTGCTGATGGGCAGAGGTTGGTAGAGAATATTTATTTATTTGAGTCCTCGCCAGCTTTCATTCCCAGAAGATCTAATGTATATTTAGCCAACACTAGAAATGAGGTTGGCCTGTGCCCAGTTCAAGGGAATGTCCTATACATCCTTTGTTTCCACCAATGTGGATTTGTAATGTTCCAGGTACTGCTGGCACATCCCTGTTGTTGTTAAATACCTTCCAGTCAGAACTAACTTATAGCGACCTAATAAGGTTTTCAAAGTAAAGGGGGGATTAAAGTATTAAGAAGTGGTTTCTACCACCCTCCCAACTTTCCATGGCAGAGCCAGGGAATTGAACCCAGGTCTCCTGAGTCCTACTTCGTTAATCTGTCCACTGCACCACACTGGCTAACTGGAGCATCTTTAGCAGCACAGACATAGCAGCCGACTTTTCCATTGTTGGTCCAGGGGCATGTATTTGAAAGGTTATAGGTAAGTGGAAAGAGAAAAAGGTTGGGACTTTGTGAATTCAAGGTTTTTCATCTAAAGAGAGTCCCAGCTCAGAGGAGTTCTAGAGCTTCATATACAAGGCTGGGATGTGGATGTGAAAACTGGGCTTGTGGTGTGTGCATGAACATGATAGAAATGCTGGGAGGAGCGGAATGGAGAGGATCTGGGATTTGCCTTTCTTGCTGTCCTCCCAATTCCTGTGCTTATCTGATTGTTAATGAAGGCCATCTAAATATATCTACTTTTCAGTGGCATCCTTACTGAAAGGAAGGCAAGGGATCTACACAGAGAATGAAAGACGTCTGGGGACAGAGATCAAAGTTCGCTTTTTCAAAATTATGTTGGTGGTTGTTATTTGGTAAGAAAGAATTTTCCACCTTAGAATACATTCTTAGGTTGATCTTTCACAGGAGAACCCATCAGTTCCTCACTGGAAAACAAATTAATGTCTAGATGTGGCAGTGAAAATTGGACCCAGTTACGTGTGTGCTTTCCTTTGGCTGCTGCTTAGAATGACCTCTCTTGTCTTGCCTATAGTAATGGTCCTTTCTTCACCCAGCATGATGCAACATAGTAGAAATACAAAAGACCAAAACAACTGACAGTCCTGCAGAAGACTGAAATATGGAAGTTTCAGTTTTTAATTGATTTTCTTTGCTTTAAGCCGAGGAAAGGGATTCTTAGACAAGACCTTGTGCTTGCATTCATATTCTTTTAGGCTGCTCACTGTGAAATTGAGAATGAAAGAAAAACTACTTGTTTACAGGAAGCTAGTTTTCTCTGAAAATATTGGGCATATATAAACTAGTCCATCTCTTCCTGCTCGTATGCCTGTTACAGCTGGTCATCGAACATCATCAACGAGGGCCTTCTGTTCTACCTGGAAATGCAACCGGATATCAATGGAAGCCTCTTGAAAAATGTCCGAAATGCTGCACTAATCACATGGATTATAATGGTAAGTGCATCCTACATCTGAGATAATGAAATAACCACCGGAAAGGAGGAGGCAATAGATGCTGTGAAAACAGAGCTACCACATTTGATTTGATCGCTTGGTTTTGTTTTTGTTGTTTTTAGAAGTTCAGTAGACTGAAACGTACCTCTGCTTAATTGAGTACGTTGTTTTTCTTTAAGGAACAAGAGATACTTATAATAAGAACTACAGATGATAAAGACTAGAGGCCTGTATGTTTGGGCTATAATTGGCGGAATTCCGGGAGTTGTAGTCCAAAACAAAGCAAGGACCATATTAAGAGGCCTTTGTGTTTCCCTCTCTCAAAAGGTGGGCAACCTAACATACAAAAGAGGAGTTTTGGACCAGGGTGGCAAAACATGGGTTTTTAAAACTACAACCCCCTTCAACTCTCACCATTATTTGGTTTGAGTGCTGGGAACTGCAGGCCAGCAGCATTTGCAGTCCAGCAAAGGCCTCCAAGACCAGCCTGTTCTGTAGCACCGCTATACTGTACCTGCTTTAGGTGACACCTGCTTCATCTAAACACAAAGGAAGATGATTCTTACTTCAGACCTGTCTCTTTTCTTAAAATCAATGTGGACATTTAAGTAGAGTGATTGACTGACTTGTGGAGGATCAGTGGACCAGATTTCTAAACAATAGCAGTAATGAGAAATATCAGGCCAAGATAAAGATAAAGCATGGAAGATGGTGGAGACAGTCCTCCAAAGGCATGAGGGGGGAGAGGAGAAATCTCCAGGGAATCTTGTGAGATGAGTGTGGTGAGAGCACCGAATGCCGAAATGGAAAGCTTTGAGGTGCAGATAAGTCACTTGAAATAGTTAGTGTTTGACATGCTGGTGGTGAACTTCCAGCCTCTATAGTGGAAGTAGCTGCCAAGAAGAAGAAGAAAGGGCATGCTTTAAATTGTATATGTGGGTTTATCAATGCAGTCTTATTGACATTTAATTTATCATTTTATGCCCTTGCGGAAATGGAACCAAATTGGGTTCCTCCTCCTCCTCACAACCCTCTGCCACGTTTCCCTGTGGCTTTAGCATTTCTGTCTCCCGGGCTGGAGCGACTGTCATCCTTATCAGGCCTGCCGCAGCTTTCCCTGTCAGTTGTTTCCTCCTCCTCCTCCTCCTCCTCCTATCTCTCATTCCTCCCCCACACAATAGACCTTTCATTACTTTTCCCTTCTCCACAGCCTATCTGCTTTTAGAGTGCTTTATGTCACTCATTTCCTTTTATTGTTATGGACTATCTCTACTCTGCAGGCGTCTGCCTTTTGTTGCTGGTTGTTTTGTTGGGTCTCACAGTCTTGCATCTTTTTATGCTTCTCTTCTTCCCCAAAACATGGTGATGTAAAGCCACTTAAAATCCCTTGACCACTTTTACACTACGTCTGTAAGAGTAAATCTCTACTTGGAAGAGAGCACCTGAGATTATGGTGGCAATATCTATATATGGTAGAAAAACAGCCTAACCTGCTTTAATCCAGAAATAGGGGAACCATTGGCCCTTCAAATGTTCTAATCTAGAGCACAACTTGCATTATTATTATTATTATTATTATTATTATTATTATTATTATTATTATTATTATTATTATTATTATTATTATTATTGATTTGATTTGATTTGATTTGATTTATATCCCACCCATCTGGTTGAGTAGACCACTCTGAGCGGCTATGATCTCCTACATTGGGCAAGCTAAATCCTATGGTCCAAAACATCTGGAAGGCTAAAGGTCTGCTTTAATCCTTCAGTTCTGTCTTCCTGCTACCATGCAGGAGAAACACTGAAGGACAGCAACATGTATATGTTTGATTCTTTTGCGAGTGGCATGGGGTGAAGTAGCTATACATTTCTCATGATAACCTTCTCCTTTCGACATAACATTGAGATTGGTGCAGAGTCGTTTTTTGCGCTGACTCCACCTTGTGAAAAAGTGGGACCAACACTTCATGATTTCAGCAACCAGTCTTTGGAATTCATGCTGCAGGAGATTCATAGGGTCCTCGTCATGAATGATACTACATCACTATTATTTGAAAATGTTTTGTGTTCTTGAGTCTCGAAGACGGCTGGTTGTATTTTTTCCTGGTTTTCTTATGATGCCTACCCTGCAGTTGTCTCTTCAGTTTTACTTTCATTATCTCTTTTTATGTCAACATGTAATTAATCATATAATTATTCTTTTAAGGAAATATGGTTATCCACTGCCCAGATCCACAGTGGATTCATGGTCATGTTGATATATACCAGTGGTTCTTAACCTTTTTGAAAGAAACGCCCCCTTGAGCCATTGAGGAAGTTATCATCGCCCCCCTCCCTGCGGCGATGATATCTTATCTTATCTTATCTTATCTTATCTATTTATTTATTTATTTATTTAAGACACTTAAATCCAATGACCCCTGAAAACAAAACTAAATTCCAAGAAAATGAAATGTGCCCCAAAAAGTAACATTTAATGATTTAGTTGCAAGTGAATTTTAAGATGCAAAAAGAAATATAAAAAGGGCATAAAAACAAATGCAGGAATTAAAAATTTCAAGACAAAAAGTCTGAAACTAAATTAAAATGGGAGGAAAATATATATTCATGCACACTGTAAAAAGGCTGCAGCCATCTTCACAGGTTTGGCTTGCTCCAGCGCCCCCCTACCGCCCCCCTTCTGCTCCAGTGCCCCCACGCTGCCCCTTTTCGTTCTACCGCCCCCCTGAAAAATAAAATCGCCCCCTGGGGGGCATTATCGCCCACGTTAAGAACCACTGATATATACTACACTCTTCTGTGAGAGAATGTCTTCTTCTTTCTCTCTCTCTCTCTCTCTCCTTTTTTATGACAATTAGGGAGTACTCAATCCAATGCAAGGCTTCCTTTTTACACTGGCTTTTTATGGATGGACTGGCTGGAAAATAGACCTGCAGTGGCGGAAAAGTGAAATACCATGGGAATCCATATCCACCTCAACAGCGGCTGACAATGCTTATGGCTTGCCAGGAGAGAACTCAGTGAATTTCCATAACTCAAAGAAAACAGCAGTACCACCAAACCATCAGACGGACGAAGCTTTAAGCATGTTGTCTGAAGGTAACCTTGGCGGTGATGAGAGGCTGACTAGGAACTCTCCAGTTTACCAGGGCTGGTGAAATCTCAGGGCTTGTTCACACATGCATGTTCTTTCATTTGAAGAACTGCATGTGTGAATGGGCCAACGCTGACATGAAAGCTCTGGCGGTGGTGGTCTGTTGAATTAAAACATTGTCTCTTCATTATGCTGCTTTTTAGCAAGAGTAGAGGATTGAAGGGATGTATGTGAAGTGTGATCTAGGATGTAAAAGAAAACACATCCCTTTCTATTCTTTATTAGTAACTCTAGCAGGTAAATAACTTTTTTGAGGAACTATTTTCAACCTGCCCTCATCATACCCTTTCTAGAAAGAAAAAAAAGTACAAATAATGTCTGTGAGAGCAAAAAGTGATGAAGAACTTGGAGTAAAGTGTGTAGGAATGTTGTTAGAGACTGCTGCTGTGATGCACATAATTTAATGGTATCGTTAACTTTTTTAAAAAATAGACCTTGTATTAATAAGTCCTATAACTTGTATTGTCCAGTAGAACATAATGTGTTTAATAAACATGTTATGAAATCTTCTAACACTAGTAGATTTCCTGGTGAATTGGGAAAAAATCCCTAAGCATGATGCTGCTGTGTTTCACTGCAAAGAGACAGGGAATTCCAGTTGTGTGGCCTTCTCCTCTTAGCATGTCAAAAGAGCTTACTTGTTTGTTTATTGTTTTTGCTACATGGACAGATCTTCTGTATTAAGTTATTCTTTTCTGCTCCTTGCTTGCTGTAAGCAACACACTTTGTCTGATGCATGCCTTTTTTTGCATGGAGATATGCATGTGAAAAAAGTGCATGACATTGATGCAAGATGTAGTGATGGTTGTAATAGCAAGGAATGATATTTACGAAGGCTTATACAGCTCCATAGAAGATAGCCATAGCAGCCAGAAAAGAAACATCCAGTGGCTCATACAAATACTTTGTTCTGACTTCCAGTCACTGGGAACAAAGAGAGGGTAATGCACATACCTTTCTTCTAAACATTCCAACCAGCTCTTCACAACAGAAAGGAGACTGGGTTTGGGGACAAAGAAGGTACAGTATTTGGCTTTCCAGATGTTTGGAATTTTGACTTCTGCAAGCCCTCGGGAGCATGGCCAATGATAAGGAATAGTGAGAATTTTTGTCCAAAATATCCAGAGGGTTTAATTTTCCTCACCACTGGAATAGGTCTTTGATATGATATATAAAGCATTGTTTATATTACTTTGGAATTGGTCACTTATAAGAATCTCTCCAAGAGACTCAGGAGCTGAGATCAGCTTCAGTCTGGGGGTATTACAAGACTCCAACCACAAACATGTGTTAAAGTTAAGTTGGTGAATCACATTCGCCATTTTAACCAGTAATTGGGGTTGGCGGAGCTTATTTATTAGTTACACATATATCCCATTTTACTTTCACTGAGCTCAAGGCAGCATTCATGGTTCTCCTCCACATATTATTCTCACAACAATCTTTTTTTTTAAATGTCCCCACCCTCTCAGCTAAAAATAAAGATAGATTCAGAATGGCTGTTGCTGTGACAAGGGTTGAAAGTAGGAGGCCCTCAAGGCCCCTTCTAGGCAATGATAATATGGATTGTTATCTTCAGCTACATTTCCTCCATGGGTCCTCCATCAAAACACCAAAAAGCTGGGGCTTGAGTCCAGCAGACTCCATTGAGACACATCCACCTCCAAGGCAGTGCTGAACTTGGAACTAACTGTACTGTAGAATACCACACTGTATTTATGTCCCCTGACAGTCAACTAATGGTTCTGTTGGAAGCATTAATCCTTAGCAGGTGCATGCTCCTGGCGTTCATGAATACAGAAACCCCTCAGTTATACAAAAAAAGAGGTTGGGCCGACTGAATTCTTATACGGTTGCTCTGCAAAATTGTGCCTCTTGGGTTTATGGCTGGATGGGAAAGTTTGTGTGAGAGACAACATTCTGTGAAAGAACAGTAATAAAAAGAATTAGCCCTGAAAGAGGACTCTATACAAAAAAACACACACCCCTCAACAGTATCTTGTTTCAGTAGACCCTTCCTCAGCACCTGCTCAGTTTCCTTTTTGTCTCATTTCCTTCTTTGTAAGTGGAAGACACAGAATTGTAAAAATTCAAAGCGATCCCCCTTTGTGCCCTCTATATCTTTGGGCTCCACAAAGGTAAATACGCCCTTTTTTCCTCTTTTCGCTGCCACCAGGTATTCTCTTAATACCAATTCAAGTCCACACACAGGAGCTGTCACCCCAAAGGGTCATATAATTTTAGGAAGCAGGGGTTTTAAATAAATATTTTTTATTACTGAACAAAATCATAAGGAGAATCAAATATAACTGTTTCATATATTCATGGATATTAAATCGGGTGTTAAAGTATATCAGATCATGTCAGTATCTCTCATGTTATACATATGCATTCATTCCTGCTTGTTCAATATATGTTATTCTTTCAATTTCCTTTCTTAACCAATTTAGCTATTCCTAAACTCTAGCTATTTCTAAACTCTAGCACTCTCTCAATAACTTCGGGTCCCTAACTCTCTCTGTCCCTATCTCATTCCAACTCTCCTCTAACTGTCTCTTCCAGCTGTCTTAACTGTCATTCTGACTCCGCCCCTCCTGCTCTATCTTCTGATTGTCATGCAGAATGACATCATCTCTTGGGTTCCGTTACACTTAAGGTTCTTTCTTTTAAATCATATTCATCCTCCTCTTCTTCAAAGAGTTTGGAGAAATGTACACGGTGCTCATCCTCTTCCTCCTGAGTAAGTAGAATGTTGGCCATTGTCCAGTTTTTAAAAATGTAATAGACAGATTAATGAGTGGCCGAGGTTTTCAGTCCCATGCAAGGGTAACTCCAAGGAGATTGCAAAAACTCCCAACTATCCCAGCCTTCAATCTTACTGTGTTCAAGTCCACCAAGATTTGATTTTTTGCTGCTGTGATAATGCTCTTTGCCATACCTTTACCCCCTAAACTAATTGTTCCAGGTGTCACGGCTGACTGGAAATCTGAAGCAAGATAGCCACGGTTAAAGCCAACCGCCCGGTTCCTGATAACTTCGTTAGGTTCTCCTTTGCACCAGGAACTCAGCCCAGGAACCTGTATCTAAAGGGAGGTCTTAGTGCTGAGTCATGAGATATAACAACAAAAGGGTGACTTCTCTTCACCACTGATTCCCCACCGATACCTGATATAGATGCTCTTCCTCCTCGACAAATATATCAAGGTTATCCAGGGTGCTATAATGCTTAGTGCTGAACTGGACCCTAGGCGATTTAGTTTCTTGTCCCTGCAGAGTCATGGAAGTTATTGGATGACTTTGGACCAGTTAACTCTCTTTTAGTGTGCTGTAGGATAAAACGGGGATGGGAAAAGCCATAAGCACCAGCTTGAGCTCTATGGATGAAAGTTGCGATAGACTGGATGAAGAAGGGAGCTTTTGTGTAGGTGATCCTAAATATTTTGGATGTTAAACACCTACATGTATGATAATAATAATAATAATGTAATAACCTATCAAACTAATTCTGACCCCAGCAAGGTTTTCCCAGGTATAAAAAACTCCGAAGGGGTTTGCTCAGCTGCTCTTCTAGGGTCATTCTGGGCCTGTCTGTACAAGTTCCCGAAAGCTATCTAGCCTGGCTCTTGTCCTGGAAGGCACAATGAGGAATCTAAACTCCTGGCCCCTAAATTTGCAGCCTCGTACCCCAACCCACTGGGTTGTCCATCCTTGCTAAAACCTATTATTGTCTCATCTTCCCTTTCTCACATTAGCTGCAAGAGGAAATCAAGTCTTCAATGGTACTGAATGCCTGCATAGTTGAAATACACAACCTTATGCCAAGCATCTAATGTCCTCTTCCAGTTAACATGTGCCTAAATGTTCTGTAGATTTTGAATTGACTTTCGTTCCCTTTAGGTGATTAAAGCTAAACGTTTTGAATTTTTGGGGGGTCAGGATCATGCTACTGGACATATCCTCTTTCTTATCTACCAGTTCCAACTTTCACTGAGTTGGGTATCTTCCAGATGGGGGTGAAGGCATGCTTGCATGCACCATTTGCAACAAGTTTGATTCCTTCTGTTTCAAAAAGAAGAGTGTCACGCTAAACATACACACTTATCTAACCATCTGTTCTTCAACATACAGGAAACATTAACTCCTGGTCTGCTACCTGATCTGTATTTGTGTGACTCAGAATAGACAACACAGAATACAAGGACACACAGCCTGTTGCAGATGCCAGATTCAATCCCTGGCATTTTAAATTAAAAGAAAAAGACTTAGCAAAGCAGGGGGGCAGGGAGGACCCTGCCTGAGCATGGAGATACTTTTGACATCTGAGCAGCCAATATTGGACATAACCAGCCCTACTGTTAGGCAGAGTGAGATAGCTGCCTTGGGCGACGGATTTTAAGTGTCATAAAAGGAGCAGAAAATAGTAAATTTCTGGATTTGTTGTCTGGGTATTTTTATTGGCAAGGATGGGAAGCAGCGTTTGTGGGACTTTCTGCCTCCTGTGCCAACATAATGTGGCTGGCTTTGAGTTCTATAATTTTTTGGGGGGTTGGGGGGATGGCTTCGGCATGTCTTTCCATTAATAAGGCAAATGATTTGGATGCTGTGTAAGAAAAAGTCTTGCATATGGATCTGTTAAGCACCCTTTTGTCCTGCAATCATTATTAAGTATACAAGGTTAAAAAAAAAAATTAGATACATTTAAGCAATTAAGATGTGGGGAAGAAGGAGTTAAATCACTCCCCACCCACACACAAAAGGAACTCAACTATTCTAAATGGATAGTTCTGCTTCATCTAATGGTAAGTATCATAACAGCTTTGCAGGCAAGGCTGTTTACATAGGCAAAGATTTGGCCTTGTGGGTCAGACTTTCAAATGAATCCTTGAGCGGGAACCTTCAGGCCCACTGGGATACTTAGCAACCAGCAGAGCAGTGTGAATCTTGAGATTTAAACAGGCAGAAAAATCTGATGGACCCCACCGTGAAACCTAACAAAGGCAGCTGGCCTTTTGATCCCACTCTTGTTTCCTTTCCAAGTTTCGCCAGGAGCATCAGGCCACAGGCTCATGCCTGCAAGTTATCTTCCTAACCCTAGTTGTGATCCTGGTACCAAGTAGCCTGGGCTTACAAGGGGCATTGTAAGGTGACTTGGCCAAAATGTGAGACCACAGCACTAGCTATAAAATTCTATCAGATACTACCTACAGTAGTGTAAGTCCAATTAGTAATTTAGATTTAGCTCCTCTAAGCAAAATAAGTCACCTCTACCCTATTCTATATCATAAAATAGCATCTACTTCTCACTTAACAGGAGTTGCATTCAAAACTGCTATGTTTATTTAATAGAGAAAATGATGAGATTTCAACTTTTCAATTACCAGTGTGGTGAAGTAAATGTTAACACACCAGCTGGCTGCAACGTCTGTGCTATAGATGTTTTGGCATTAAAAATTTTAACGAAACCTTCTTATGCACAAGAGTGCTACTAATTACTGCATTTTCTGTGAATGTACAAGTCTTAATCTTGGACCATGTTTTAATTAATATTTGTTTTACTGTATCTTTGCTGAAGCAAACCTTCCTCTGGACTTACCTGCTTCTTCCTTTAGCTTATAAGGGACTGCACAGGCCCTAACATCTGCAAGGAGGAGTGTAATGTAGTGGTTAGATTTGGTTAGACCTGAGTTCAAATCCTCACTTGGCCATGCAACATACTGGGTGACCTTGGGCCAGCCGCAGTGTCTCGGCCTGACCTACTCACAGGTGTGTTGTAAGGATAAAGGAGGGGAATTTTGTGTGCTGCTTTGAGCTCAGTAGAGAAAAGAAAGGATATAAATGCAACAATAAAAACACTGGTTTTAAGCCACAAAGTCTTTTGATGGAACATGTGTGTAAAACAAGCCTATGTGATAAAAAGTTAATGACAAACTCTGGACAGTTCACTTTCTTCAAAATAATAAAGATTTTAAAATAAAAAAAAATTAGTTGGTGAAAAGATCAGTTTTCCCCATCCATCTCTCCCTCTCGCTCAGAATGTAATGAGAGACCTCTTTTCTTTGTTTTGCTAGGTTCTGATGCTAGCACAATTGAAATCCACATCTCAAGTGGAGTCCATGAATTAGATGGTAACGATGCTGATGTTGACTAATTGAAACAGTGAGGACCTGGAGACCCCCAAAATTCTATCATGGCATGGCTCGTTTGTCTTCCTTCTTTGAAATTTGGATTTTCCCACCATTTTTCATGTGTCATTCTACCTACAAGGCTAAACACTTCTCTTCAGCTTTCCAGTCCTCGACTATGCAAACCCACTTTTTGAATAGATGTACAATACATACCCTGAATATGGATTCAGGCCATGATCAGATTTAGAAGCAAATGTTAAAATGCTATATTCATTCTAAATCGTTGCCACGTTGTATGATTTTTGGTCATGAAATCTGAGGTGGTTCTTCTTGCTCCTTTGTATCCTTGTGATAAGTTGTCTGGGGTTCATGAGAATTGTCTATTATATCTGGAAGGCACCCTAGTTCTCAATTATTGATTTCTGTTTTGCTGGGCTTGGCATCTTGTTTTGGTGAAGACTTCATTGTGCTTCAAGGATCCTGAAAACTATGCTAGGCAGAAAGTTAAGATTATAGGAAGTCCACCCAAACATGACAGGTCAAAGTGCTCTCTTGCCCACATGTCTTTATCTCATTTTCATACTTTCATTGATACTCATTTTATTTAGAAAAAAAACATGCACATTGTTTGATGATGGCCAAATCAAGAGATGACCTATGGATCAAGTATTTTCTGGGCTAGAAATATGGCTCAGTCTCCAATTGCAACATACAGCTATTAAATCTGACAATGGATGCAAACTTTGGGAACCTTCAAAATCTCAAGTAACAAAATCACTTCCAGTTTCTAACCTTTGACAGGACAGTTCAAATCTTGATCTCCGAATGCACTGATGGTAAGAGCTTCAGATATGTTGAGAACTACAGATGGGTTCATGATGGCATGATAGGGAAAACAATGTTTTCATTCTTCCTTCCCTGCCTTTTACTGTCCTGTCATACCGAAACCAATGGGAGAGGAATTATAAGGTTATATGGCCCCTGCCAAGGATGAACCTATCTCAGCCGCCTTGGTAGGGAAGAGCCATTATATCTGTGGCCATTTGGGATTCCCTCCCAGGAAACAGAACTGTTTTGTTAGTTGATTTATCAGTTTTGAAATGGGGTAGATAATAATGCCTAATGAAATCATAAGTTTCCTATAAGTTTTCTCAACCTCCTTTAAGTTTTCTTATAATTTCCTATAAGTTTTCTAAATCTGGAGAATTTACACAGGATTCACACTGTCCTGACTAACACAAAAAGCCAAAGAATGCAAGAAAACACAGTGCATCCAGAGAAAGGGTGTTGTTAATAACGCAGGAAAAAAAATGAGAATCAATTCACACAGGGTTTTCTAATATCAAAATATAGCAATTTATTCAAGACACTGAATATGATCTGTTGATTCTCTCCTTGAAACAAATTAACTACAACACACATGGTGATTTGTTGAAAGAGAGAAAGTGTGTGTGTGTGTGTGTGTATGTGTGTGTGTCTGTGTTTGAGAGGAGAAGGGTGTATAGACAAAACGGGTCAGGGGGAGATGTTTCAACAGAACCTAAGAAATGCTGAAATGAGAACCGCACCTGGCTTCATGTCTGACACAGACAATAAAACTTCAGAAGCCAGAATTCAGACTATGAGTGAGTGGCTGAAAGGACAATTCTGCAGTTGACAAAGAACCACGTTTTTAGAAGGCAAAAAAAGAGAGAAAAGACAAGAAAAAAAAAAGAACAAAAGCAGAAACCCAAAGAAACAAAAACGACCCTTACATGTAACAAAGTGCACTTCACTTGGCTCTAAAGTTAGCTAGTTTGTTTTAAAGATAAAAATAAAAATGCAATTTCTTAAATGTATTGGGGAGTAGTCCTTGTTGAGCCCTGGAAATTAAGGGACCCAATGTTAAAGAGGTGGTATCTTCCTCATATAGAAAACTTGCCAATCTATTCAGAGTACTGAGTGTTCCAGGGAGAGGTAAATGATAAATGAAATACTTGAGAACTGGGGTTTGGATTAAAAAGGAAATATTAAGAATGATTTTTTAAAAAATCACAGCAACTGTTGGCTTGAACCAATATGAAATCTGATATTTAAATCAATAATAAAAATCTGTTCTTAATAAATTTTATAAGACAACTCTAAGCACGTGTATGGGGGAGTATGCACGTCAGAAATAAGTCACACAGAGTTGCCCATTCTGAATACAAAGGCAGAATCATGCCTTGTCCCAGTGGAGAACTAGTTTTGTGAGAAAACTATGATGGGTATGTTTACATATTAGTAGTTATACATATGAATTGGAAAAGCGATTTTTTAGAACTCTTAAATCTCTGGAAAAATATGATTATACTTAGCATCACTAAGATCTGCCAATGAAGTTAAGTTGTAAAAGCATTTTTCCCTGCAGCGATAGTTTTTATTTGTAAAAGAAGCAACACCCTGAAATGTATTTAGGAAATTGCCTTTTATGTGGAAGAGAGTTTAAAAAAGATACTGTATCTTCAATTTGTATTAGGATCCATCCAAATTGTTCTTTTGAATGACTAACACAATCCAATCTACATCTGGTAGAGATTTTAACCTTCTAAAATTGTCATTAACATAAAAATACTACTATTTTTTTTCTTTCCAAAAATACACTGGGTTCTTTCTTTTTTTAAAAAGTCATCTTTCTCCTGTAAAAAGCTTTCCCGGCACTGCATTCTTACATAAAGCACTTATTACACCATTTGTTGAAAGTGCCCATGAGACCCTAAGATTTGAAGTATGGAAGTATCTAAAAAGAAGAAAACAGAGAGAGAAGAGGAGAAAGAATGGTGTGCAAGGGGGGAGGGAGGGAGGGGGGAGAGGACCAGTCTCTTTCAGTCTTCCATTATGCCCACCTGGCTGCATTGACTATGGGCATCAAAAGCCACAGCAAAGCAAAACAAACATACAGAAAAGGGGAGGGAAGGAGGGAAATGAAAATAAAAGAGATTCAGTTCAAACCTATGCCTGTGATCCTCAAGGTTATAATATACCAGCTGATTAAAAAACAACAACCACTGAACAAATAAAAGTAGTCTAGAAAATAGAAAGTGTTGTGATTACAAAGTTGTAGGTGTGATCGGTACAAACTGGTCTTTGAACGTCCTTTGGGAGAGCAACTGTAGTGTCCAGATTGGAAGGGAAAAAATACAACACCATATGGAGAAGGATTATTTTTCCCATTTTGGTTTCGCAAAGCATTTTGCTTTATAGGATTTTTTTTTCAATTATTATAATTTTTTGGCACAGCTTTTCCTCTTCTCTTCTGCAGCCATCAGAACGAGTTCCCAGAGACCCAAACCAAAAACTGCAGGGCTTTAAGCCGGTGCTGTACTCCCACTTGCTTCTGAAGGCTGAAGGGTTCAGGTGGAAACTGTCCCCACCCCTCCCCCAAATGATTGCGTTTTTGACTCCTTGGTGAAGGTTATGGACAAAACATCACAGGCTACTATTGCCTGGTAGAGTTGCCTTTGTTGTACACTCTGTTGTTGGTTGGTTGGTTTTTTGTTGTTTTGTTTTTTGTTTCCATTTCTGTATGTTTCCCCCAATACTTGCAGTTTTAGAGATGTTAAAATAGTTCTGAAGAGTGCTTCTACCCACACATTCAATGCTGGTCCATTTCCAATTTTGTCTAAAAATAATTACTTTCGCAGGTCTAAAACACAAACCTGGAAGGCAGAGAAAGAGGAAAATTTGTAGGCAATGAGAGAAGCTGGCAGCAAACATATAAACAAAATAGTCCAGTCAGAACTACAGGGAAGAATTCTACCACCCATGATCAGAACATACAGTAGAACAGTGGTTCCCATCCTTGGGTCCCCAATTTTTTGGACTACAACTCCCAGAAATCCTGGCCAGCACAGCTGGTGGCGAAGGCTTCTGGCGTTTTATAGTCCAAGAACATCTGGGGACCCAAGGTTGGGAACCACTGCAGTAGAATATCCTGCACAAGGCAAAAGTCTCATAGTCATGGAATGCAATCACTCAGTTACAGATCTTGATGTGTGACCAGGGCAAAGATAGGCTGCACATCAATAGGTCATGTGTGACCTACGTAGGCACTCCACACATACCCATAAGCTTATTAAATAGTTATTCCACTTCTGAAAAAGAGACATTAAGATTATTCACAATCAAGTCTGTGTGTAAAAGCCTACAACACGTGTGAGGAGGATTGTCCAGTGTCTGATGACTTAATGAGCTCTAATGTCCATTGGACCATGCAAAAAAGTAACACTGGTCTGAAACACCATAGCTTCTGCCATCTGTTATTAAACATAATTGAGCTTATCCCTAAGGCTAAGCTTCTATAGTAATGAATACTTCATTGATCCATGAAAAGATCTCAGTTACAGAGAAGTCTGCCAGAAGTTACAAAAGACTGGATTCAGTGCAAGATTTGTACATATCCAACTTGGCTACCAGCTGCTCCAACCAGTGGGGCTTTCTTCTCCAAAATACATCCCACATTCTATGTATGCCCTTTCTTTTCCGACGTTTGTGCTGAACAAATACGTCAGTGGAAGATACATATGGAAAAGTCAGAGAGGGAGCCAAAGTTTTGGGCCAGGGTACCAAGAGTACAGGGATTTAGAAAGGAAAAAAAAAGTTGGCCTAGTTTGTCTAGGATTCTTTAATCTGGGAAGGGATTACATTTTCTGAGTTCCCTTTGATCTGTCATCTCAAACACGGTGAGTTATTCGAAAGGAGATTACGGAAAGCCTTAGACCTGGGAAGGCAATATCCCCATCCCTCACTAAGGTGTTATGTTTGAATGCTGTTTATACCAGGAAGGTGATGGCTGAAATCTTGCTGCATAACTTTTCCTTATGGAAGGGTGATGACATCACCAGCAACAGGCCATTTTTGATGACTGAAGATTTCCTACTTCTGTCCTGCAGCTTTTCTGACTCCCATGTAATCCCTTTCATCGGGTGGATACAAATGAGAAGTGTTAAATTACTGAGAATTGTTCCCTGCAGGTGATGTCATCACCCTTCCATAGGTGTAAGTTGCACAACAGGATTTCACTAAAAGTTGGGGTGTTGTTTGTTTTGTTTTTTGTAAATCTGTGATTTTTCCAATTTGCTAGAAATGATTCTAGCGATTTTTGCCATACCCTTTGTCCTTTGGTAGGCTGACTGGAAAACTGAAATACTTTACAGAGAAAAATCTGGACATGAAATACGTCTTTATTAGAGTAGCCCAACCCAGCACAGATAGTGTGAGGAATGAATAGATACCAAAATTACATTTAGCACATTTGATAAGTGAATTCTGGGAGTTAATGCAATTTGTTGCTTTCTCTTTTTCTATATATTTAAAGCTGAAGTGATAAACTAAGCTAGACATTTTCAGCCATCTCCCCCCCCCCNTGACAGTAAAGAGATTAAACACAGAAGGCTGGATATAGAGTAGACTTGAGTCCTGTGTGTTTCTTGAAGTACTGAAGTGTACATTTCCTAACACTAACACGACTGCATCAAAATCTGTTGAGAAGGACTGAGTGTAACAATGACAGCTAAAAACACATCTGTAGAAACCTACCGATCCATCTGATGCACTGGCTCCCACTTTGTCTCCTCTAGCATTCCAGCAGACTTCAAATATTCCTCCAGTGCCTCTGTAGCTATGTACTAGAGTTCCACTCTGAAAACAGACAGATAATCAATCCATCATAAAGAGGTCAAATGGTCCAATTATTCTGCTTTTCTTAATGTGGGTATTTTTAAAACACGCAGAAATAATGCTTGGGTCAGTTTTGACCTGCTGCCTATGAAGACATGGCCAGGTTACTTGCAGCTTTGAAGAGTGCTTACATAGTGACATAGCCTCAGCAGATGGGTGTCCTACTTCTCCTGGTCCTGCCATAATGTGATGGTTAGTAAGCCAAGGACAAACCAGGATTCTTTGTTTTGGAAGTAAAAGGGAACTCAGGTTTTAAAAGAGCCTGTGCAGTATAATGGTTAGACTGTTGTACATTAGGACCACCATTTCCGCTGGATCAAGGTTTGTTGACTCACTTATCCATGGTCTGTTAATATTAAAAATATTAAATGAAAATACCAACAAATACAGATTTTCAAGATCTAATTATCAGACTGGCCACCAGAAGGAACCAAACACTCCGTTATATAGGGAAGCCACCACCATTTTGCATAGTCTCCCAGCAGCTTGCGTCAGCTTTCTTCCAAAGCATGTTGCTGTTGTAAAACTCAGAGCTGGACTGGCTGGTGAAGCAGGAAGAGGAGCACTAACCTAAGCTAAACTGCCCCTTTAGATAGGTTTCCCACCTTCTGCCCTTCATGGCTTCCAGCCAGCTCCTTTTTCAATATTTCTGGGCAGAAGCGGATTGTTAATTGTCTTCAAAGAAGAAAATCTGCAGATCCATTCAGACTGTGTGCCGGTGTGTGAAAGAAAGATACGAAGTTGGTTGTCCAGCATACTAAGGAACATGAAAAGATTTCAACTTGACTCTTATTTATAGAGGCCCCATTGAGATAAAAATGACAGCTACAAGGAAGTCTTGGGTCCAACAGACTGTGTTAGCTATAATCCACACTTTTCAGTTTCCATGGGGGGAGGGCTTGGAATTGGTCCCCTGTGGATATGGGGGTCCTACTGTACTAAGATTTGAGAATCTGAGTTTAAAACCTTGATTGTTCACAGTGGATAACTTTGGATTATCAGTGGATAACTTTGGATTAACCACAATTTCTCAACCTGACATATTTCATAGGGCTGTTGTGAGGATAGGCTGGCAGGACGAGAGGCACAAATATTATTTGTTATAATATATGCACTCACTAAAGGAAAGGAGAAAATTAAATTAAACCAATCCATTAAGTTAGACTTTTCATGTTGGAGCCAGAATATAAAGGGAGAGGAAAACATGTTCTTAATATATTTAAAACAAAACAATTGTTGAGCAATAGCAGATTTTCTTTCTTTGGTCCAATTTAATTTAATCTGTGTAGTAGATTTTTTTTTCTGTAGTAGAAATCTCTGAATTCCTCCATTCTGATACTCTTAAGCACCTCACTGTCTATCAACTCTGTGGTCCATCATGTATTATCATGATATTTGGCACATTTAGTCAAGAGGATGTTATATAACCTTCTATTGAGCCCAACCTATAGGATTTCACAGAAAAGCCAATGGTTCATAGTGTGAGTTGTGCAGCACAGGGTTCCATGTCACAGTTTTATGCTTAACACTGAGTTGAAATTACTGGTCATTGTCATCTAAAACGTTTTTTTAAATTGTTATCAAATGATAAAGCTAACCAGACCTCATGTCTGAAGGTTGCTGATTACTGCAGTAAGTCACAACTAAAGCAGTCCCATTTGAATCAATGAAGATTACAGAGGAGTTGACTCACTAAATCCCTGTTGATTCAATCGGCTTAATATAGTGTGAAGTGAGATACTACACAAAGGAACAGGATTTCAGTGAGGATTTTTTTCCCTTAAGTTGGTATCCAAATAGAAGTGCTTCTGTCTTGGCTTCTGCCTGGAAGCCACAGTTGGCACTGAAATCTGAAATTCTGAAGTCCAAGAGAATGATCCAATGATCTTACACTCTTTATTATTATGACTTATATTTAAACTATAATTGCTGGTTTAGTGTTGAGGTGGAAATTGCTGGTTTTATCGGTTATAAATTCATAAGGTTTTATATCTGCACTCTTGAAAGTCACCTTGAAAATACTGCAGTGGCTGGGTACACATTTATAGATCTAAATGAATCATGTCTCCTGCACAATATATTGTGCATATTTCCCCTCCTAGTTCTTTTGTCAGTAGTGACAACATGTCAGTTCATAAAGCTCCATTTTGGTACTATTGACTGTTTCTGCAACTCTATAATGCAAGACATCTAGCTTATAAAATGAGGGAATGCTTTTCAGTTAAGTTTGACAGCATCAGATGCAAAAGATTTTTACTTGCTGAGATGCTTTGCAGATTAGTATTCAAGAAGGACAGGGAGCACTCCAGGAAGCAATTGTACCTTTGCATGGATCTATTAATCTTGATTTGTAATTCATTATCATTCTGATCTCTCACTCTTTTGACTGGATTGCATTTACAGGTGTGTACAGGTGGGGTACACCTCTCTGCTGCACTGCTGGGATATCTGGACTCCTTGTCATAATATTCCTCCCACATACACATACTGAACACCACGTTGTTTAAGTTTATGGGGTGTGTGGAAACTTGTGCCACAGTAAATGTATACAGTAGTGCCCCACAAGACGATGTTAATGCATTCTGCAAAAATCGCTGTTTTGCGAAAACACTGTCTTGCGAAATGCGGTTCCTCACTGAAATCCATTTAATGCGTTCCAATGGGGGAAAGCAGTGGAAGATAGGAGGACCTGGCGTGCTCTGGTCCATGGGGTCACGAAGAGTCGGACACGACTAAACGACTAAACGAACGAATGGGGGAAAATTGTCGTTGTTTTGCAAAAATGGCCCATAGGAAAACTGTTTTGCGAAGTATGGATCAGCTGTCAAAATTGCTGTCTTGTGAAAAACGGTCCCCCCCCCAAAAAAAAAGTCTTGCGAAGCACGGACCCAAACATCGTCAAGCGAAAATCGCCCATAGGAAACACCGTTTTATGAAGCGCTATAACAATTGCAAAAACTCATCACCTAGCGAATAAACCATTTTGCAAGGTAATTGTCTAGCGAGGCACCACTGTACACCTATAAAAGCACCCCCATTGTATTTGAGGTGATATTACCAACAATCTTATTTCAATTAGATATTTCATGCAAGCCATTTTGCAATATCTTACCTGAGTATTCCATATATGGACACATTTGTCAAAGGACCCACTGGCTAAATATTTTCCATCAGGACTAAAAGCTACACTGTAGACAGGTTCTTGATGTTTGGTTAACGTGTGAGTGCAGACTCCTCTTTCAACGTCCCACAACCGAACAGTAGAATCAAATGAAGCACTGCGGTAAACAATTAAAGCCAAAAGATTTCAGATAGAAAAACAGTCACACTAGTCACTGAAAACATTCTGTAAAAATAAAAAGCATTTTTTTCTTTCATGCAGACATCCTTTCAAAATGTCACATGGGCAGAACCAGTGCATGGTTTCTTACCTTCCCAGATACACACTGAAGTTGGGTTCTCTTCCTCATGGAACCACTGATGGGGGGAATGTTTTCAGTTTGGCTAATAAGACAATAAACCTGGATTCCAAATTGCAATTTATGGAATTTGTTGGGTGGACCTTTGGCTATCAGTCCAGCATAGACTTATATTTGAACTTTTGCCTGGTAGCCATGGGCAACCACATACTGCAGACAGACAGATACATGGGAATATGGAGAGGTCATGCAGCACTTAGTCCTTCCACAACATAGAAACCAACCATGGTGCTCACAAAAGAAAGCCCCCCTCTGCTGGATCCAGCAAAGAAATGCAGCTTTCCATTCCTCTTCTGCCAGATTCTGGCGGGTTTATACATGCAGGTCCCTTTGGGGGAAATTACTTATAGGGCCTGCCTAACTTACTTGATTGGTTACTTTGAGGATCAAATGAGTGGATTCCCAAGTGAGTCCCTAATATCTTTTGAGGGAGGATACAGTGTGAATGAATGAATAAAGCACAATGAAAACATATTGCCACACATGCAGAATCTCAAGGGCTTTGGAACAGTTTGCGATTTCCAGTGAGCAAGAGATGTAACACTGTTTGGTTTTTACCTTGCCAACATAATATTGGAGCTGGGGTTGCTGGTCCCTGGTCCCGTTGGACTCCATTTGATAGTATAAATCTCTTTGTTATGTGCCTGAAGGTCATGTACACACGTATCTTGCTTCATACTCCAAATCTATTCAAAGTACCAAGAGGAAAATCTCTTTATAATGGCTACAGTGCAGCTCACTAACAAAATATACTTGTGAAAAGCCAGATAAAGCTCATTTTCAAATAGTTTTAATTATTAGGGCAGAAACACACACAAATTGAAGAACTAAGCTGAAAACGTCAGAAGTCAACAGCTGAGGCCTTTCAACAACACTTCTGCAGAATGTGGCACAAAGACTTCAAATCAGACTGAATTTACCTTTAAGGTCATATCATCGGAACAGGATGCTAAAAGCATACCAGAGGGATCCCATTTGATTGCATTGACTTCATTCTGAAATAAAGATATATTTTATCAATGATTTTTGCCCATGAACTGCACCACACTTTTTACCCAGAAGAGGGCCACCTAGGTTTAATTCATTACGGCAAGTAAAATTACTGTATGCTAAGTGATTGCCTTGCCTCTTTAGTTCTTGAAAAACCTAACTCTTTCCCATCTCCTATTACTTCACTGCAATTATGGCAATTATAGGAAATAATATGAATGGCAAAAACTGCATTTTTATAGGATAAATGCAGCTCAGTTTTATTTGGCTATGAAAGCATAGTTTAGCTTCAATGAGCCATCTTTAGAGAAACTGCCCTATAACAAATCCAATCATGGTTTTGTCTACCTTAGAACTGCCTGCACTGCCCAGAAGTGGCTCTCCAAAATTTCAGACAGAAGTCAAAATTAAAGCTGTCATGGACTGCCCTGAGAACAGTCTGTGTGCAAAGCATGTGTTCTGGTAGAGAGCTATGCTCTCTTCCCTTTGTAATAATAAACTGGAACCTATTGGCTGAAATCCTGTTGCTTAGCGTAGTAAATGGCAACTAGAATAGACCCATTGGAATCAGTACAATTGATGGAGGAGTTGACTCACCAAATCCCCACTGATTCAGTGGGCCTCATCTAGTGTGACAAATTACACTAAGCAACAAGGTTTCAACCACTACACATTTACATTTCTAATTGAAAAGGAAGGCTTTTCCTTTTGCAAAGTACAGTAAAACTTTGCTCAGAAATAAGAATTCATTACAGTGCAATCCTATTAATGGAAAGCCAAAAGCTTTGTGGACTCTTAAAAGCTAATAAATTCTATTATGATGTATGCTAGTGATGGGGATACTATTTTTTCATCAGATGCTCCTAATTTTATGCCATAATGAAATCTGCTAGCCTTTAGTATTGCTGATATTTTTGCTGTAGTGGATGATCACAACCAAGCTTCTGGAAATCTCTTACTCAGATGTAAGTCCCATTAACTTAACTCTCAAGAATGTATGTGTGCACAAGATGATAGTGTACAAAGATGACAATTCACCAAGTGCTCTTGAAGTTGTGGAACTGCAACATGTTAAAAGCAACAGTCATACTTACCGTATGGCCCTGAAACGTTTTGACTGGACGATCACAGCCAAGTCTACATACATGTATGCACATGTCAGTGCTACAAGATGCAAAAGTAGTGTTGTTCTGCCAGTCTACATCCAGAGCAGGGGCTGTAAAAGGAGAGCAAAAGAGGGACCATTAGGAAATCTGCCAATGAAATACTCAACGCTAGTTCCGCAGGACCACATGATGACTGTTAAGCTGATTCTAATCACATGCGGCAGTCTATCCCCTACAAGCATTCCTGAACAACATCACAGTGCCATTGTTTACAACACCATGTCAATGGACTAGCAAGCATTAACTCCTGAAATGTGAAAGACGGAGGATTCCCATAGAAAGCACTCCCTTAGATAAGCTATGGGCTATTTTTAAGTTGGAGGGTGCAATGATGGAAGATCCATCCAGCATCTTACTAAGAGTGCAAATGTTGTGCTCCGACGAGTTCACACAGACACACATATAAATGATATTAGAACTGAAGATGCAACAGCACACTAACATCATAAAACATGGTGGGATCTTAATGATGGTAATAGGACAAAGATGACATTTTCTGCCTTTCTGTTTTTAGGTGACATTGCAATGAGCTTTCTTAAAGCTGTCTGGTTCTCATCCAAAATGATATCCTGTCCTGAGTTCCATCTAGCAGACTAGGGAGCAAGGCCCTCTTTGTCCCTCATACTGTATATCTTCCAAAGAAATGCTCTAAATAGACAGTTTTTAAAATAGTAGATCATTCCTGATATAATCAATGATCAAAGTGCTGATTGTGACAAAGCCAACAGTTAGTCCCAGCTAGAATAGACCTTCTGAATAAATGGGACTTGTAAGGTCAATACCTATCAAGTCCCACTGACTCAATGGGTTTACTGAAGTTGGCAATAAGTGGGTCTCACCCACTGTGCTGTGTGTTTTATTCTGAAAGGATAAGCTGTTCTACGCTTTGTTAAGAAATTAGTAGGAATAAAAACATTTAAGTAAGTCAACTGAAAGCTAATTTACCTGAGTGGAAAGGAAACTGTTGTTTAGCTTCCCCTGTATGAGCATCCCAAATTATTGTGGTCTGTTGTGGTTGATGAAGCAAATGGGAAGAAAAAAAACCACACACATTAGTCTATATATTTGTCACAGAGAGTGCAAATCTGGGCCATGATACACATTCCTGGCACTTATTTGAAGACAGTACTTCAAACTGAAGCCAAAATGTGAAAGGCCCCCTTCTAAGTGTTGGTGCCCCAGTCATTAAATATCCCCCAAGAGAAGTTCACCAGCCACCTACCTTACTGTCATTTCAGTGCTAGGAAAGTTATCCTTTATTTTTTTTTTCTAGGTTTTTAGATGCAATTTTAATCACACTGATTTATTTCTTTATTTCGCTTTCACCTTAATGGTAAACAAAATAATTTGATAGTTCTAGTCTTTTTGTAATATACCCTGTCAATGTAATTAAAGGGCAATATTAAATTACTTGCAATTAATTAATTAATTAATACTCAAATAAGAACATTGGGAAGTTATTTCGGGGGGGGGGGATCCTGCAATTTATCATAATTACAGCATTATTTCAGAACAAGTGAAACTTCTAAGTGAAGCTGCATTGATGAGTCTTCCTATTCAAAGTCCAGCCAGCTAGTCATGTTCCTTTCCATGACTCACTTCATTCTTCATCTTAATTTTCTACTATTTATTGGGCTGTTTGGATTTTCCCCACACTTTTTGTTGTTGTTTAGTCGTTAAATCGTGTCAGACTCTTTGTGACCCCATGGACCAGAGCATGCCAGGCTCTCCTGCCTTCCACTGCCTCCCAGACTTAGGTCAAATTCATGTTGGTAGCTTTGATGACACTGTCCAGCCATCTCGTCTTCTGTCGTCCCCTTCTCCTCTTGCCTTCACACTTTATTCTAAGAATTTTGTCATGCATTTTTGCAAGCATTCAGATTCCTCAAGTCTGTCACTACCTATCTCTCAGAGCATGTGTTTGTTCTTTGCTAGGTTAACAGAAATGATATATTTCCTGATACATATTTTAGGAGCTGAAAACTAAATTTCTACAGATGCTGTCTCCAAAGATGCTGATATATTTTTTTTAATGCTGGGGTAGAATTGCTTATGCCATACAGTAAACACAGGAATATCCAAGCCAGGCTTCACATGACTCACATTTGTGGTCTCCTGAGTGAACAATCATTCAATTTGACAAAAACAAGACATTTTGCAAAATAACCCCAGATGAAGAGAAAGTAAATTCTGCTGCATTCCTAAAAGCAGGTGTTGCAAAAAGGGATGCTGTCATCCCAAGAGCATTAGCTAAAACATACTTGCATGGTATGTATCTCAACACTTACCTTATCAACACCAGCGCTTAAAATGTAATTTCCCTTTTTGTTCCACTTCAGAGCAAAGATGGGTCCTTTATGTTGACCTAAGGTGCTTGCAAGATTTCCTGTAATGTACATTAAAGCAAAAAAGGTAATGTTTCAAATAGCTTGGGAATTGATTCAGTATACTGAAGCACCTTAATTATTTGGAAATAGCCATTTTACCATCTTCTGTCCATATTCTTGCAAAGCCATCGTATGATCCTGTAGCCAGTAGTGTTCCATCACTCTGAAAGAAATGCGCAACGGAAAGCAGAGGATGTTCAATCTATATTTTCAAACATAAACTCCCAGGCTCTGGCTCCACGGTCAGATACCCGAACCAGTGAGCTGTATTTAACCTATAGATTTATTTCATAGGTTAAAATCAATAAAATTATATTTTAACAACCACCACAAAAGCAACCCTTTTTTAATTATCAGAGGGAATAACTACTGCTTCTATCCAGGGATGGCTAGTCGCATATGATGATCCAAAGCAGTGGTTTTCAACCTTGGATCCCCAAATGTTCTTGGACTAAAATTCCCAGATGCCTTCACCACTGGCTTTGCTGGCCAAGATTTCTGGGAGTTGTAGTCCAAGAACATCTGAGGATCCAGGTTGGGATTAACTGATCTAAAGCTTTTAACTGTAGAGTTTTAGCTAATCATTTCCCAGTTCTTTCTTGCACACATCTTTGCCCCTTTCCTTGAAATTTCGAAGATTAAGATTAGAAAAATAACCTTGTTGCGACAGCCCTTGAAGCTTTGAAAACCTACTTCCTGGGGAAGAAAAAAAAATTCTCCGGGGTGCAGAAGAGAGGACAGCAAGTGTGGGCCTGATTATATTTTTATGCACCACACACAACACAGTCAAAACGGAAGCCTCCGTGCTAGTACTGTGAGAGATAATAACAGAATACAGAGTATATCTGCATTGTGCTAGAAAGAGGCATACATGATTTTGTAAGAGATACTTGATTAATTTCTGAATGGGAGTAAGAAATGTGAAGGGGGAAGTAATTGGCAGGGTTGCAAACCTATTTGTTTTCTTGTAGAAGACAGCGTGACTCCAAATTAGGGAATGTAGACTAAAATCTCCTTGACTGATTTGTTTTTGCCTTTTAAAAGAAATCAAAACCTATCCCACTTAAACAAAACAGAATCCAACTGTTCTTCTCACTTAAATCTGCAAATATATTTACTGAACTCTGGGCTGTTTGCTATGCCAAAAACGAGATTCTGTTGCTGTTCTTTTTTTTAGATACTGAAAAGCCTTTTCCAGCTGCATACTAACTATATTCAGGAGCCTATTCTTTTGTGCGGCTTAATAATAGATTAATCAGACCTTACTTCAAGGGGAGTGGTAAAAACAAACAAACCATTACTTCGCAAGGGGCAGGAAAGTATGTTTCTATTAAGAAGGGAAGGCCCTGGGAACAGAGAAAGGCTGAGAGTCAAATCCCTTTGCTTAAGAGGATTTGCCAGACAGGAAACCACAAGCCTTCTGATAATGTTACTCTTGTTCATGTAGAGGGCCGGGGATCTAGGGCTTGTATTCACTATGCCAAAAAGAAATGGTGCTTGTTGTCTCTGAGTTTGTCGTGTTTTAGAATGAAACACATCATTTAAATACCCAAGATTGTGATTGTCTTTATCTGCCTTGCAGGAAATTTCACTGAACTCCTTTGTACATGGTTCCATGTACAAGGTGTTTTACACAATACAAAGGTGTTTTAGATACGATGACAGAAATACCCGCTGGCCAGTATCCTCTTGTGGAACATCACCAGGGCAGTGAGAAAAATGTCAGTATGCTGCTCATATATGTTTCCTCTAAGCCGCATGCATGCACACCGCACTGCATCAATCCCACACAGCCAGATTGATGTTGCTGCCCATTTACTTCTGGTTGCCACTGGAACCCCATTTGTGTATGGGGGGGTGTTGAGCCCCCCAACCCCCAGCACTAGCAGAAATTAGAGGGAATGTTGCTGCTAATTAAAATCTTTTTTCCCCCAGTTTGAGGATGCACACAACTCGCACACGAGATGAGTCATACACACCCCCAAACCCAAAGAAGTCTTTAATTAAGGCCAGTCTGCTGTTGCTGCTGCTAGTGGTATTACTCCTGCTGCACCAGCGGAGCTCTGTAAGAGGATGCGGGCAATTGTCTTAGAAAGGATGTTGTCATCGTTTCTGGCAGCATCTTAAATTTGTTTTAAATTGCCTCAGCTCACCCTCTCTCCCCACAAAATCTGGCACTCCAAGTCTAGTTACTTACTCCAGTGAGCAGGCACACATTTTGTATTCTTATGGAAGACTAATTAGGGTAGGACTATTTATTTACTGTTTACTATTAACAATATAGAGGCATTTTGATTATGTTGGTTATCTGTAGGATTCTGCCCCAAGTGTTGAAACAAGCAAACTTACGTTCCAGTCCAACGATGTCACATCCTTATTGCTTGGGACATCGTGTCCTCCTTCTCTTATACAGTGCCTCAAAACTAGCTGGGTAGAGCTACCATTGCTGTTTTCATTAAGATTCCATATTCTGGCAGTGGAATCACCAGATCTATTAAATATATATATACATATTGTTTCTTTATTAAAGCAAGAATAGCCTGCTTTTCTTCTAAAATGTACAAAAACATATACATGGGATACAAAACCTAATATTACTGAATCCCCCCCCCATTAATATTTTTAGCCATTCAACATAAAATCAAACTAGTACAGTTGGCATCTCCACTTTAATAAAACAGTATCAGGTGGTAGGTGACAAGAAAGATTCCTTGCCTGAGACCCTGGATTGCTACTGCCGATCAGAGTAGCCTATAATGAGCAGATCATGGCATATCATCTTACATCTTAGATGGTAATAAGTCCATTGCTCTATCCCGATATCTGTAAGTGATCATAGCTGTAGTCCAAAACATGTAGAGGCATTCAGCTGAAGAAGGGTGCCTACATAATTTTGGACGACTACTACTATGTCTTAATAGTATGGGGAAGGCCACACAAGATCTGTATTACAGCTGCTTCTTATCAATACTGATACAAGAGAAAACTTCAATAAAGAGGAAAATGGTCATACACTTACCCTGATGCCAGCAAATCACTGACTGGATTCCAGGCACAAATGAACACTTCTGATTCATGGCCCCGGAGAACTGTTGCTTTGTTAGGAGGAATTTCAACATCTCCATCAATTTCCATTGGTTTTGAATGATTATCTGTAAGACGTACATACATTTAGGTACATTATTCATTGGATGACAACTGTGACAAATAGTAAAGCGGATTATGGTCTACTTTTCACTAGATGGCTCCCATGGCTTTTTAATTTTTAAAAATAAAATAAAATAAAATAAAATCTATCCAAAGCATAGTACTTTTACTCAAGAGACATTCTATCCAATATAAACATTTATTATTTACAGATAATGTGAACAAAAACATTTAATTCAAATAAAATATGATATTGCTTTACGTGGAGAGCCAACGTATACTTTCCTTCTGCAGATTAACGCTATTGATTCAACACTGTGCATTTTAGGACAGTTTTAAACAAGCCACATTTTATCTGGTGATCTAGATATAAATGCTGATTGGCCAGGACTAATTATAACAAGTAAACACACACACACACACACACACACACACAAACACGTTTCTTGTCCCATCGATGCATTCTGAGCTTGACAATTAGTAGCAAGGGTTCCCACAGGGAAAAGTAGTGCATAGTTATATTGCCGAATGTTATTTACGCATAGATGATTCCCAAACAAGTTGAGCATGTACAGGAGCTTATTTCTGGGAATAAAACTGCTGAGCAGGAATTCAGGTTGTGGGGAGAGGAAAGAGAAATAGCTGATCCAGAAACTGAATGGATACAAGGCTACGGCTTGAGAGAAATGTACAGGACTGAACGGTCACTTCAATCCAATCTTCAGTTTGTATCACACCTTTTGACCAAGGAGCTGAAGGGGCACACATGGCATTGGCACATTTTAATTAATTAATCTACTAAAGCACATATTAAGTGCTCTTTAAGGGTAAACAGTTTCAGAGAAGCACACAAAATTTTAAATCACAATGAGCACAACAATACAATAGCAAAACAACAATTGAATCAACATAAAAACAATATTGTTAATTGTTAAGGGTACCCTTTACAACGCAGACCCACTTAAGAGCCAAGATAAAGAGACAAGACAAAGAGGCAACCCACATGAAAGTTGGCAAACTGGAAGACACTAATTGGAATAGAGTTCCATGCCTCAGTCAAGACACACACAAGCCTTCAGGGCAGCAAAGACATTTCAGTCCAATGGTTCCTGACCTCCACAAGTCTCTACTCACTACATTGCAGTGTACACTACCCATGGAGATGTGGCTTGAAGTTATTATGTGGCACATCCCAATTGTAAACAGCAGTGGTGGCAGGACGAGACCATAGCCTGTAGTTCTGGGTCCAGCCCCTTCTAAACAATTCTTTGGCAGATGGCACTATGAATGAAGTACCAATGTTTCTCCTTCTCCTGTCAAGGAAAAACGCTGCACGGGTAGCCAATTCAATGGAGAATGCAGCTCCTAAGGTCGCCATTTTAAAATCAAAGTGTTCTCTCTTCCTTTTCACTTCTTATTGGTGTAGCAGGAAGCTGAATCAACTCACGTAAGGGCAGGGGTGGCAGCCATTGAGGAGAACAAAGAAGCTAGAAGACCTATTGCCATTTGTTAGCTGGTGTGCTCTCAGAACACATGCATGAACTCACACAATTTCAGAGACACACCCATAAGGGATCTCTTGAATCCTGGCAATAGTGCATCTTGATACAAACTGGACTGAGAATGTAACACTCAAGAGAGCTATTCACAAGAGGAATTTTTCTGAAGACAAGAGAATTAAAACATTCTATAGCAAAGAGTCAACAATACAGTACATAACTGGTATGGAGAAATACAGACTCAAAAGAAGCAAATGCACGTGGCTGAGAGTCAGGCTACACTGCAAAGGTCTGCAGTACTTCAGCAGACTGTTTTCAGAGGTGCTATAAGGATACAGAGGGAAAGGATATTTCCCTAAACCACATACATACATACATACATACATACATACATACATACATACATACATACATACATACATACATACATACATACATACATACATACATACATACATACATACATACA